CCTGATGAATTGTTTATGATGACATAATAATCAAACATATTAACGGGAGATATAGAAGCTGGACATTTGAGAGATGAATAGCAAATATGTGACAATACTCTTGAAGTAATTAAGTTTGCTTTGAGACCATTTAGAATGAAAGGTAATATTTCTGATTACATTTGAATATCTTAAGATATTGGACACTTATATAATTAGTCCTAGCTATGACTTCTCCTTTACATGAAAAAAAAATAGTTATAGACGTTTTCCCTAACAATGAAATCTAGAAATTGGAGATTGATATAAGATTCAAGAAGAGTTAATTAGAGTAAATACTGCTTCTATTGCCTTCTCAATCTTCCACAGCAAAAGATACCAATAACATTGTCTTAGATTTACAAGATTTTTTTTTCTTTCCATGGGTTCCTCAAAGTTGTCAAAGATTTGCATTTAGTGTTTCATCAGTCATTTCTAAAATCTAATTAGAAGATTTAATTGGAATATCTTGATTCATGATATGACAAAAAGATTTACATTATGCTTGAATTCTGTTTCTCAGGCTACACAAATTATTAGAGATCAATTTCAACAAGTTTATATCATCCAATAAAGGATGATTACTTGTTTGTCCTTTTAAAGGAAGTAAGTTTGTTTGAAATATCTTGTCAACTTCAGCTTAATCCTGTCCCTTCAGGGTTAGTAATTTCCCCAGTGAAAGAAAAAAACAAGCTCTCTTTTGAATATTTGGGATATATGCTGTACCCAGAAGAAATTGATCATAAGAAATATGAAATCAAGAGAGAAAGATAACAAATTTTGAACTTCTTTCAGAAATTATTGTGAGATATACCAAATCCATGGTGGCTTCACACGATCCACCAATTCCTCAGATCTACACTTGCGTCTTGAACGGTATAAGCTAGGATGATTTGACTTAATGTGTTGTTATAGGACATTGTGAGAAGAATAATGATATTTTGACTTAGGGTGTGGTTGCTCCCTGTTTGGTGATTTTGAGAGAATATTTGTTTGTTCTTAGTATCATGGCAAGGAAATCTTGCCTCCTAAAAAATTTTTGGACTGAGATATATATGAACTTTGAATAATCAACTTGAGATATATAACAGTATTCACAGTGTGTCCTTAATATCTATAGTTTTTCTTGTAAATGTTTATCTTAATCCTTATCCCTTCCACAAGTATGGAAATGGGTTGGTCAGGACAATTAATGATGGCTGCTCAGAAGTGAAAATGGACAATTTACATATTGCTTGATCAATACCAAAAGGTAGATGATTCCACAGGTGTAAAGTAAATAGAAAGTGCTTGGGAAAAAAAAAGTAAAAGTGAACATGGGTTGAAAAATAAGAGATTATAATTGTAAATAAATTTGTATTGTGACAGAAAATCAGTAGTTAAGTGACTATACAATTGCCTAGGAGATAATTTACAAGCTAGAGTACTTAGGTGGATCAGGTTCAAAAACCGAAATTTTTAGAATTTGTTGAGAAACTAACCCTTTATTTCCCAAGCACGGTCCCTTGGACACAGAGAAATTGAGGTGAAAAAGCAAGACCATTATAACCTGGAATTAGAACAAAGTATTCTTTTCATTTGTGCTGGCTCATAAGGGTGAGTTTGTATTTGTACATAATAGGTAAAATGTAGTTCTGCCTGCAATGGTTACACCTGAGACAGGACACTCCTATCTACCAGAGGAGCTGTTAGATGAGGAAACATTTATAGTACTGTTTGATTGTGATCAGCCTGTGCCTAGTGAGAGCGATAGGTAGAAACTGCTAAGAACAAGAATAGGGAGTTTTCAAGTCCTTTTTTTCTAGAGAGCAATGCTGAGAAGTAGAAACTGTTGGAATAATTAAGCAGGATTTAAAAAGCTTGAGGAATTTAGCAAATTTACCTTCACAGAAGTTGGAAACTCTATAAATCTCCTCTTATCACAAAAGCACTCCTCTTCTTACCCAAGGGCTGGTTTAGATCAAGCAATGATGCAGAGAACTGGAGTAGTGTAAATACCCATTTGTGTTGTGTATCTCTCGAGCAAAGATAAGTGCAAGACAAATAATAACTTATTTGCCCTGAGCCCATTCAAAAAACTCACAGAATTAAAAGCAACTCAACCTCAGTATGGCCCAAATGCTCCTTTGATGCAAATGCTGCTGGAGTACAGAATTTTAGAAGCCTTACACTATGGGAAATGGAAACAATTGGACAAAGCTTGCCTGTGAAATGGAGTCTATCTGCTGTAGAAAACAAACATGAAGATAAATGTTGGATCACAGGTCTGAGAAATAAGACCCAACAAATTCCCTTTTCTTTTCATATGCTTACTGGTGAGTGACATCATAGAAAAAGAAATCAGCATCAAAATTTTGAAATAGCAGTATATGCCTAAGTTACTTCAATGACAAGAAGGCCTGGAATAAACTTATGTCTTCTGAAGAGCAGAAAGAAGACTAATGTCAAGTAAATCAGGGACCTGACTAATTGTTTCAGGATGCTGCAGTAACCAAACAGATTAATTGGAGACACCAAAACTGGATACTTGAGAGGTAAAGCTAGCCTACAGCAATACTATAATGGTACTTAAGTCTGCTTTGAGACCATTTAGAAATAAGAGTAATATTTCTGATTTTATTTGAATATCCTCAGATATTGGACACTCGTATAGCCAGTGCCTAGCGATAACTTCTGTGTTACAGGAGAAAAAAAAAAAACAGTTAAAGATGTTTCTCCTGACAAATAAATCCGAAAATTGGAGATTGATATAAGATTTAAAAACCATTAATGAGAGTTAATGGGAGATTTACATCTTCCATTGCCTTCTGTTTTTTCCATACCAAAATATACCCATAATGTTGTACTATATTTAAAAGATTCTTTCCATACCATCCCCTTGGCTCACTGAAATTGTCAAAAATTTGCAGTTAGTGTTTCATCAGTTAATTTCAAATATCAAATTAGAAAATAGAATTAGAACATCTTGCTTCACGGTATGACAAATAGGTTTATATTATGGCAGAAATCTGTGGCTCAGGCTACATAAAATCTTACATTTCAATTTCCACAGTTTTATATTATGCTTTAATGATGATGACTAGCTTGTCCATATGAATGAAGTAAGTTTCTAATATATTGTCAGCTTCAACAGAATCCTGTACTTTTAGAGTTAGTAATTGCCCCAGTGAAAGTAGTACAAAGACAGCCCTGTTTTGAATATTTGGGGATATATGCTTATTCAAAAGAAATTAGCCTCAGAAATTGGAAATTAAAAGAGAAAGATCACAAACTTTGAATGACTTTCAGAAATTACTGTGTAATATACCAACAAACACTGTGCCATCATGACACCCACGTATTTCCTCTGCTTATTTGTCACTTTTGTCATGCTTGAACTATTAGTGGGACACCTGGCAGTGAGAGAATGATTTGTCTCTGTGGCTTTGGCTGATACTTTGAAACCTGTTCCTCATGCAGGATTGCATTTTTCTGCATAAATATAGAGGACTTATATTTTAATTTATATTTTATTGATATTTGTTTATATTTTGTTATATTTTTAGCTTGCCTGGTGTTATGGCAAGCTGTTATGCCAAGCTTTCTGGTATCAATGAGAAACCTCCTTCATACTGTAAGAATACAGTGGAAAAACAGAGTATGAGGTTGTACAAATGTAGGGGTGGAATAGGAGGCAGAGTAGAGGCTGCAGTCATGTTGGAAAATAAGAAAAGAAAATAATTAAATTTAAAATATATTACTCAGTGTCATACAGGGATGGCAGATGGACATTTGATTCAAGGGCTCTTATGGTTTATGAAAACATATTATCAATGCATAAAAATTTGAATCTAAAGATACTCTATTAGTTTTTGGTTTTTCAAGACATGGTTTCTCTGTTGCTTTGCAGCCTGTCCTGTGACTAGCTCTGTATAGCAGGCCAGACTAAAACTATTGGAGACACACCTGACTCTGACTCATTAGTCCTAAGTGCTGGGATTAAAAGTGTGCACCATCTCCACATGGTGGATATGTTACTTTTGAAAAGATGTCCTGCTTTTGTTCCAAAGATGAGAACCTGTGGATTGTTTCCAGGCTAACGTTATTTGAAGGAGCATGAGCTCCCAGAAGACCTCCAGAAACCCTATAAAAAGTTTCCTAAAAAGCATAAGAAGCATTTTGGAGAAAACTACATGCAAATTTCCAAATAATCATATATGTTGATCTTTATTTAAGGTGGGATAATATATATAGACAGGAACCATTTACATTGGATTTGATCTTAGTTTACTAAAAAACCTTATAAGGTTGATTTTGGTATATGTATTTCTGCTCTTGGTTAAGGTTTTGTCTTAGCAGATCATTTAAATATCATGTATAGTTAAGAAGATTAATAGATAGTCATTAATAATAATCAAAATCTTAATAACATTATTTAGTTTTTCTAGATATGCAGAGATATAGTTCAGTTACATAGATAATCTTTAACACTTGAAAGACCTAAAGAACATAACATTTGAAAGGTTTTAAGAACTTAGAATTTTATCAACAGAGAAACATATCTGCTTCTGGCAGCACAAATTACTTCATTTGTGGGTGCTTAAAAGGGAGAGTTATGCTTTCTACCCTGAACAGCATAGATGACTCCCCTGAAGTCGTTAGAAGTGAGAGAAGACTCTCTGCAGACAGAGGAGCTGATAGATTAAGAAGTATTTATGGGACTGTGATACAATCAGTCTGAGCCTAGTAAGCTGTAGAAGAAGCCACAAATACCATAGTGAGGATCTTTAAAATCAATCACTTCTGACTAGGAATTCTGAGAGTCAAAGATGGTGGAAAGCTAGAACAGGAGCTAAAAGGCCTGAGAGACTTAGTAATTTAAATTTCACTGAAGTTGAAATCTCTGAAAATCTTCTGTCATAAAAGCATTACACTTCTAACATAGTGGCTGGTTTAGATCCATCTATGGTGCAGAGATCTCCTGGAGCAAGGCAAACACCCACCTTTTTTTGTGCATTTTTCATGCAAGCTAGATTCCAGAGAAGGAGTGAGCCGATGTGAAGATGTTCAGGGATTTCCAGTATTTCTGGAATAGAGCAATGAGATGATCAGGGAAATCTACTCAGACAACGAGACCTGAAACCATTAAAACAAGGCAAAGTATTTAAAGCAACCTAAGCTCAGTGTGACCAATTTTCTCCTTTTACACATGCTGCTAGAGTATATGGATTTAAAAGCCATACTCCAGGGACTTGAAATAGATAACCAAAGCGTGCCTGACAGGAAAAGGCTACCTGACAAGGAAAACTGAGTTTTCAGAACAAAGTCAGTCCACAGCTGTGAATAATATGGACCAAGTAGTTCTTGGAATAAGTTTCTTTCTTTGGGAGAGCAGACAATGGACTTACCATAAATAACACAGCTACCTGTTGAGTTGTTCCAGGATTCTGTTTCCACGCTTACACAGCCATTAATAAGAATATTAAAAATCCAGAATATTGATTTTTGATTATTAAACAGCTATCCTACGAGAGTACTAATGTAATATATCAGCTTACTTTGACATGTCTTAGAAAGAAAGGTGCCATTTCTGATCACATTCAAAATTGTTGAGGAATTTTAACCTCATACACCCAAGGACTAATTATGGCTGCTGCTATTCCGGAGTAAACACGTAAATATGTTTTCTCACAACATTGAAATCTGTAAAGTGGAAACTGATAGAAGAATTATAAATAGTTAATGGACCGTGCACATTGGTTGAACTTTAGAGACTAGACTGGATTACCTTCTCATTATGGTATGGACCAATTCGTACCTATAGAATATTTTAGATTTAATAGATTGATTTTTAGCATGTTTTTGTTCCAAAATATTTTCAAGGATTTTCATGTAGTGTTCCATTGGCCAATTAAAGGACCAAATTGGGAGATATCATTGATAAGTGTTACCTTAATTCATGGCAAACAGTGTAATATTATGCAATATATGTGTACTTCATGCAATACAAAATATTCTTAATATTTTCAACAAGTTTACATTATCCATTATGGATCATATTTGTCCATGAAAAATGAAGGAATTTGATTGAAATTCTTGGACTCCTTCAGCAGAACCTTTCCCTTATGGGTAGTTCATTTCCCAAAAAAATACAAATGCAGACACCTTTCCCAATCAGGATATATATTTCTTCCTAAAGAAGTTAAGACTCAGTAATTGGAAATTGGGATGAATAGTTTGAAACTTTGAAGAAATGTCAGAAATGACTGGTAAATATTCAGGGACTGTGCCTATTTTAAAATTGTCTAGTGAAAATCTTGAGCAATGCAGTGAGATAATTGGGAGAAGTGACCCAACTATCCCAGGTTTTATGTTGAAGTTGCAAGTCAAATGTTGACTCAGGTGACCATTCTCCCTGGATTCTTGAATATACAATTCAAATATATATATATATATATATATATATATATATATATATATATAAATGAGAGTTATATTGTTGCTGCAGGTCAAGTGTTGTCTCAGGTGACCATTCTCCCTGGCTTCTATAATAAACAATTTTAATAAATAAATAAATAAATAAATGTAAGTTATCCTTCAGTCACAACATAATTCACTGCATCATGCACTTTTTATTCTAAATTTTCAAATGTGAATTTTCACAAGCATTATACCATGCATAGATTTTGGTATGATGGTGTAGAAGAGACTTATGTTTAAAGCAAAAGTTCATTGCAATGTATTATGGAAAGGACAAAACCACGCTATGATATAGGGTCAATTGCATGTGAGCTCATGTATGTGTGTGTGTGTGTTTACAGGAAGAAAATAAACCACAATACCTTACTGAAAGTTTCGTGTAATGGATTGACCAGAAGATTACCAGACTAGATGATATTGGAGCTGCTAGTGCTCACCAAGTAGTAATGGATTGAGATTGCTGAAATTGTTTTTTTGAAACTCTGATGATAGTAATGGATACACATTATTGCCACAGTGTGTATAGAGTGTGAGTTTATATGTTTGCCTTTCTATTTGGAAAAAAATAATTTTAATAAGCAGTTGTATTTATTCATACCTTTTGTAGTTCATATATTTTATAGATTTAGTTGATCACGTTGAGTGCCAGTTGTTCCTGGGTAAGGCGGCTTGCTCGTCCCAGACATCCTGCTCACTTAGCCCCAAAATAACAAAACAGAAATTATATTAATTAAAATACTTCTTAACACATTTGCTCTAGCCACTTATCAGCTAACTCTCATATCTTGATTTAATGCATTTCTATCAATCTGTATATTGCTACATGGCAGCGGCTTACCGGGAAAGATTCAGCACGTCTGACTCTGGTAGCCCCATGGCAGCTCTCTCCTCTGCTTTTTTTCTCGCTGCATTCAGTTCTGTTTCCCCTGACTGCCTAAGTTCTTCCCTATCAAAAGGCCTACGCAGGTTTTTTATTCATTAACCAATGAAAGCAACATGTAAACAGAAGGCCCTCCTACACCAATATGTACGTATTTTACATGAAAATTATGTAATAATAAGGATATTTTCTAAATAGGAATGTTATTTTAAAACCCAGTCTGAACGTGCAAAAATTACAAAATTGTATCTAAAAATGTCATGATAATTTAGCAACAGTTTGATGTTTTCATTTGGAAAAACACAATATACGTATTATTTATAAAATTTCACAATTGTCTGCATGCTTATATTAGTGTTTCACATATGTGTACATCTTGTGACATTGATTTCAGAGTAATAGTCTTAACTAACGTTTTGAAATGTTTTGAGGTACTTTAATATGAACATTTAATTTTTTATAAAATTCACCGCAATGACTTCTCTAGATTTTCCTTGTAATCACCAAGATCAGTACTCCAGCCTCAGGTCATTTTTCTGTTCTCTCTTTCAGTGACACCTGACTTCAGGCAAAATGTGTGTGTGTGTGTGTGTGTGTGTGTGTGTGTGTGTGTGTTTGTGTGTGTGTTTGTGTGTGTTTTGATATGGGGCATTCTTCTAGGACATGGGCATCATTTCAATGCTAGCATACATGAGAAAATCTATCATTCCAATTTATCATTTCTTTAAATAATTTAAGCCATTCTGATAATATTTTGCATTCATAAAGTTCCTCAGAATACAGTAGAATATCCTCTAGATTTCGTTATGAAACAATTAAATATAAAAACATACAATGGAAAATCAATAATAAAAGTGCATGTATACATAAATACCAATCAATTACTATTTGTATGTGCTAGTATAATAGCATACAACAGGCTTGAACTGTGCCATATGTGGTATGAAATCAGGCAAGTAAATCTTAGAGATTTCTTCATTCATGCTCCATGTACTGGGACTACATGATAATGGTATTATACTTTTTTTTCCACATGTATATATTATAAACAGATGCAGTTGTTAATATTTCAAATTACCAGTTCATGGACAGATCCCTCTAGGAGTCTGTTAATTTTCAAAGATAAAAGCAGAAAATAACATAAGGTTTATAATTTAAAGTAGACTTTGATGTTTTTAAATATAAGTAACTACTCTATTACTTTCTTTCCTCTGATTATATTTCTGCATTCATACAGATTCTACAATTGTTGTCTGGCTCCTTAATAAAAAAATAGGATCACTACAGTATGTGATGTTTTTCTATAATCCACATACATCAAATAAGACAACATTCAGACGTCTCCCATACAATAACATTAGAAATGAATAAAATTAAGTTTTACTGTTTATCTTAAAAATAAGGTATTTAAATAATTGTGTAGAGTATTAGGATCTGAGAGTCAGTCTCTTAAACCATGAATATAGCTATAGTTTGTATAATCATCCTAAAATGTTAATGTCAAAACCGCAACTAACAGCAGTACAACATATTGAGGTAAAATGTGTGATTTTTCCAGCTACTTCAAATGTCATAAATTGACAAAATTTAGCTCTTCAGAAGTTATTACTTATTTCATATGTATAGACATGTCTAAATTTTCTCTCATAGATTCTCTTATATATGCAAATATATAATTGACAAAAGGAATAATTTGCCAAATGCAAAAATCAATCCTGTTCCATATTGTTATGGTGATAGTGGTAAGAGAATCATAAACTTCTTCTGCAACATTTCTGAAAGAATTAATTTTGCAAAACTGTCATAAATATTTATCCCTAGACTCACAGGAAACTATGACTCTAACTTCCAGAAAAAACAGGATAAAATTGGGGTATTAAAGGGCAAAATTATAGAAATCTTAAATGCCCATTAAAACTTAATGAAGGCAGAGAAAGAATGAAAAATGCTTAGCATAATTACATTCCTCTATGAAATGTCAAAAAGATGGAAAACTCTCTACAAATAGGAGAAAACAACTAACAAATTTTGGAGGCTAAGAAAAATGAATTATTTTCTACCATACAGAAATATTGATAGGCCTTTGTGTTAGAAAAGTCAATGTTAAATTGGTTCTATAAAATCACAACAGTGCGTATTCAGTATGGAATACTGGTGTATAAAATCATATCTACACAATAAAATATCATAATTTTGTGGGATATTTAATGCTCCCTGATTTAGTTTTGCGCATCCTGCTGTGTTTGGCTCTTCATGCTGTTCTGATCTCTCACATACTAACTCTGCACGGATTTATTGCTCCATTGTTCCCATGGTGTGAACATTCTGACTTTTCTTCCTGTTGCAGTTAGGGACTTTATGCCTGACCATTAGAACATAGTTAGGTTGTCTAGTAAGTTGCCTAGTTACCCATGTACACAAGGAGATTTTGCTCCTTTCCCTTTCCCTATATTTACCTGGATTATACTCTTGAATAAACAAGACTTGATGAGAATCCTGTCTTGTCTCCATCTCTGATGTCTCTTGTCCCATCTATTCTCGCTCCCCTTCAGGGACTCTATTGAATTTCAGCAGGGCCAGGGTAAAGTAGTGCCCAAAATGTGTCTGTAACACGGTAGATCCAGTGAAGAAGCTGTTCAGAGAGGCCCATATAAAGTGAAGTATAATTAAGAGTAAGAAAAACACAGGAACCTGCTGTGTCTTCTAAACCTCGGAGAGCAGAACAGTGATCACTGGACAAACAATTACTTAGCATGAAATGAGACATGCATTCAAGGCATGAGGGGTAAATACTAAAATTAAAGTATAGATTTTTTTTGAGTATATTAAAGATGTTTTATAGTTGAGAAAAATGATAGAGAGTCAGAGAGGCTCTTAAAGATTACTGTTAAGCATTTACCAAGAACTGTTTCTATAACTGTCTTTTTTACTAGAATTAATAATTTTTTGTTTTAGAGGTATTATGATTTTATAGTTTGCAATGTTATTGGGATAGAAGAGAAAGTCTTATTAAAAGATAAGATGGACATACTGCATTAAAAAGGAGCCTAAATATTTGCAATGGCAAATACAGGTTTTTAAATTTGAGAAGGCTCAAATTGATGCAGTCAACAACAATCATCTGCTAAGGGAAGTTATTTTTCCTAGGTTAAAAGGTAAGTGGAACTTGTGATAACCCTAATGAGCAGGCTCATTCCCCAGTTGAAATACATGAATAACTGAGAGAAATAGGCATGGAAGCTTGGGAGCATCTTCAATCCATGGAGAGAATAGTGGTTCGTGGATTAAAGTTATCCAGAAATATAATTAGCCTTATATTGAATTCCAAGTACGACTAAAACAAACAATGGAAAGAACTGTAATTGGAGAAGAAGCAAGGAAATAACTTCTGAAAAGGCCAAGCATATAAAAATGCCAAGGTGTGTTATAATGAGCTATGCTATCAGTTCAGGAAACAGGAAATATTAAAAGTTATAGGAAAGTATGAAAAAATATTCCATCTGAAATAAAACTGCAATTGGCTGCTGAAACTATGGCCACCATTTATTATAATTTGTAAACTGAAATAAAAATTTAAAAGATTTAATATGCTTTGGATATTGGAAAATCATTTTCTTAACAAAGAAGTTCAGACAAAAGTAAAAGTAGTTAAAGAGCATATGTAAAAGGACTTTTTGAATAGGTTATAACGTATGATCACATGCAAAATGTCTGGAGATCTGACATTTGAAAATTTGGAAATGCTAAAAGGGATCATTGGTAGCCTTTTCCTTTGTTAAAGACGACAATGGACATTTACATACTAATGCTAATCATCTACATGTTCAAGATAAAATTCCTTTTTGATATAATAATCATACTTTTCCTTGGACAGCAGAGTAGAGGGTGCCTGATCTTGCTTTATCCTATAGCCACACTGATGAATATCTTGCATATCACCATAGAACCTTGTCTGGCAATGGATGGAGATAGAGACAGAGACCCACATTGGAGTACATGGACTGAGATACCAAGGTCCAAATGAGGAGCAGAAGTAGGAAGAACATGAGGAAGGAAGTCAGGACCATGAGCAGTGCTCCCATCCACTTAGACTGTGGGGCTGATCTAATAGGAGCTCACCAAGGCCAGCTGGACTCACACTGATGGAGCATGTGGTCAAACAGGACTCTCTGAATGTGGCTGAAATGAGAGCTGAATGAGAAGCCAAGGACAATGGCACTGGGTTTTGATTCTACTGCATGTACTGGTTTGTGGGAGCATAGTTTATTTGGATGCTCACCTACCTAGACCGTGATGGAGGGAGGACAACGTTGGACTTCCCACAAGGCATGGAACTCTGACTGCTCTTTGGACTGGAAAAAGTGGGTGAGGGGGTTGGAAGGAAGGTAATGGAAATGGGAGGAGGAAAGGAGGTGGAATTTTCTAATAAAATGAAAAAAATCCATTTTGATTAATTAGTCATACTTTGAATGGCAGTCTTCATTTCTAATGGATAGAGCAAGAGTTTGAGCAAGAGTTTATGGTATTGTTTGTTCAGGATGAGTGACAATATTGGCCATGGTAAAATTATACTCATGGAAGTAAAATTATACTCATGGAAGTAAAATTATACTCATGGAAGTGACCACTCCAATATTGAACTTCACCATGATCACCAACTTGGGGTTAGCTAAATCTCTTGTGCTCTATGGTCAGATTATTGTTCAGCAGTCCAAAAGACCAGTTACAGCTGAATATTTTTTCTGCCCGTATGTGCTCCGTTAATTGTCTCTTTTATTCAGGGATCAGCTGTAAATTATTGTGCTTATCTCTCTTGTACATCTATGTTTTAGCCTTCTTTTGGGGAGATACTGATGTTTTAGTGTATATCACTGTAAGTATCCTCTCTCCTCCTGGGAATGACTTGACTTATCTAAATAATTTTGATGGGACCTCTTATAATTTTACTTATATGGATGATACAAAGCCAATAAGCTTTGGAAATGGTCTTTGTTTAAAAGTGGGATTACATCATTGGTTACAACCTAGAAATAAGATTTGCAGATATTGTACTCTTCTTCAAAGGCTTTCAGCATGGTAAATTTATCAGACTGGTACAGTAATAATAATCCATAATGAATTAGTATTTCCTGTATGGCCAGATTTTACATATAATAGTTTAAAATATCAGCCATTTATTTGGAAGACTTGTTTGGGCAAATTTGGCAAAATAATTCAAAATAAATAGATCCTTTTTCGCCCATAATGTCAATTTATTATCACTTGTTCTGAATGGAATATTATCACTTGTGATTTGCTTAATGTTATCAGGTTGAACTGTGTCAAGAATGAAATGATAACTGGAAAACTTCTTCTGTCATGGGGAGATGGAGGAATTACTGATAATCATATTCCTTACTCAAAGACGCTACTGCAATTCAGAAGATTGTGGCTACCTTAAACCTGTTCAGCTTTTAAATGGCTCATTTATTGCAACACAAGTATCTGCTCCTATTTATAAATTTCACTTATTTGGAAGTAGTAATGTTACTGCTTGTGTACCACTACCACATGCATTTATGTTGGAAGAATTAATTTTACAACTGGAATTAATTTTTGTGAATGTTAATTGTATTTATATATTAATTCCACTTTTAAGTTTAATCCTCATAATCAATCACTTATGATATTACAACAGTATACACATATTTGGCTGCCAGTAACTTGGGTCGTTCTTGGGCTCAAAATCCTCTAGATAATATTGTAGAATTCTTCAAAAAGATATTGAAAAGATAAAGCACATGTTCGGTATAATAATAGTTGTTATACTTAATCTTATTGCTGTTTTTGCTACTGCATTTCAAAAATATATTGTCACCTCCCAATATGAGGCAAAACACTTATTTTTAATATTCTTACACACTTATTTTCTCATTGAACAAAAATCCCTCTATTGCAAAAGAAGCCTCACAGGAAATGAATTCATGAGATATGACTGAAATTGAATTTCGTTATATGGCTTAATTGAGAAGGAACAAAATTTCTCACTTTCATGTGCAACATGGCATCAAAGTGAGGACCAAGAACAATCTTCAGATGTTTTTTTATCAAAGTGGCACCATAATGATGCATAATATGAAGTAACTATGAGGATTATGATTAAGAGCATTAAATACCTGACACGTATTTAATAAACTAACTGAGACTAAATGATTACAAAACTATACAGGATTTTTTTTTCTTTCTGGTAGAATCATATACAAATAATCTGATTCCTAATCATATATTCTCATATCTAAATATTTGTGCATCAGCAGAAACTCACCAGAAATATTACTTCTGAAACTAGATGGGAAATAACTCAGTGTTGTGAAGAGAATGTCACTAAGGGTAAAACACCAATGCATATAAAATAAAAATAAAACTTTTAAAAAATTAAAAATAGACTTGCAGTGATACAAAAGATCGTGAAGATTTGTGAATTTCATTGTCACCTGTTCTGAGAAAGTATCAGAATATTCAAAGCTAATTGGTAACTAAGTTTTATAAAGGCATGGTCTTTTGAAGGATGTGTAGTTGTGATTTATGGTCACCATTAATATCTCTGACATGTGTTATATGCAAATGAAAAAATGATCCTCCAATTTGCTAGTATGTGCAAAATTCAAATTAGATTTCCATGAGTCTAACAATATCCATCACCTAGATCTCAGCAATGGAACTCCTGATTTCTCCCACCAACACATGAATTGATAGATTTGGATTTAGCAGCTCTCCTCTTTCTTTAATTACGTTTATGTACCAGGCTTGGATCCCTCAGCTTACATCTAGGTTTTCTATGGAGTTTGGCTTTTGTAAATATTAGAATTAATTGTTATCTTAGTATAGAGAGTAATTGTGAGAATGCCTAGAGCTATGCCATAAAACTAAGTATTCAGATAAGAGTTGAAAAACTACTACCCTCTCTACCTTTAAGATACCAAATCCATTCTCTCTCCCCATCTCCCTTTCCCCCCAAACTAAAACAACCCCCGTGCTCCCAACATTTTCCCAGAGATCTTATCTACTTCCAATATCCAGGAGGATAAATATATATTTTTCGTTGGGTTCACCTTTTTATTTATCTTCTGTAGTATCACGAATTATAGGCTCAATGTCTGCTCTTTATGAGTAAGTACATACCATCTTCATTTTTTGGGTCTGGGTTACCTCACCCAGTAAAGTATTTTTTATTTCCATCCATTTGCACCCAGAATTCAAGATGTAATTCAAGATGTTATACTGCTGAGTATAACTCTACGATGTATATGTGCAAAAGCTTTTTTATACATTCTTCTATTGAGGGGCACCTAGACTGTTTCCAGGTTTTGGCTATTACAAATAGTGCTGCTATGAACATAGTTGAACAAATGCTTTTGTAGTATGATAGTAATATACTTGGGTATATTCACAAGAAGGGAATTGCACGATCCTGTGGTGGGATGACTCCCAGTTTCCTGGGAAACCACCACACTGATTTCCAAAGTGGTTGAGATGGAGGAAGGGTGGATATAGGAGCAGGGAAGAAGATATCTTAACTAAAGGAGCCATTTTAGGGTTGGCAAGAGACTTGGCTCTAGAGGGGTTCCCAGCTGTCCATGGGGATTTCCCCAGCTAGGTTCTTGGGCAGCAGAGGAGAGGATGCCTGATCTGGCCATATTGATGAATATCTTGCATATCACCATAGAACCTTCATCTTGTGATGGATGGGGATAGAGATAGAGACCTAAATTGGAGCACAGGACAGAGTTCCCAAGGCACAGATGAATAGTAGAAAGAGGGAATACATGAGAAAGGAAGTCAGGGCAGCGAGGTTTGTGTCCAAACACGGGGACATTGGGACTGATCTAATGGGAGCTCACCAACGTCAGCTAGACTGGGACTGAATGAGTGTCTGCATATGTGTGTGTGTGTGTGTGTGTGTGTGCGTGTGTGTGTGTGTGTGTGTTTACAGGAAGATAATGAACCACACTAGCTTCCTGAAAGTTTGATGTAGTGGACTGACCAAAAGATTACCAGACTAGATGATATTGTAGCTGTAAGTGCTCACCAAGTAATAATGGATTGAGATTGCTGAAAATTGTGTTTCTGAAACTCTGATAATAAAAATGGATACACAAATTGCTATAATATGTATATTGTGTGAGTATATATGTATACATTTCATTTAAAAAATAATTGTAATAGGCAGTTATATTTATTCATACCTTTTGTATTTCATATATTTTATTGATTTAGTTGATCACGTTGAGCGCCAATTTTTCCAGGGAAAGGCTGCTTTTCAAGCCAGCCACCCTGCTTCCTTAGCCCTGAAATAACAAAACAGAAATTATATTAATTAAAATAGTCCTTAACCCATTTACTCTAGCCTCCTATTGGCTAACTCTCACATCTTGATTTAATCCATTTCTATCAATCTGTATATTGCTACATGGCAGTGGCTTACCAGGAAAGATTCAGCATGTCTGGCTCTGGTGGCTCCATGGTAGCTCTCTCCTCTGCTTTTTTTCTCCCTGGATTTAGTGCTGTTTTCCCTGCCTACCTATGTTCTGCCCTATCAAAGACCCAGGCAACTTTTATTCAATAATCAATGAAAGCAACACGTAGAGAAAAGGACCTCCTACTCCAGTATGTATGTATTTTACATAAAAATATGTAGAAATAAGGGCATTTTCTAAATAGGAACGTTATTTTAAAACCGAGTATTAACATGAAAATATTACAAAATTGTATCTAACAATGTCATGATAATTTAGCAACAATTTGATGTTTTCATTTAGAAAAAGCACAATACATATATTATTTTCAAAATTTCACAATTGTCCGCATGCTTGTATTAGTGTATCACTTAAATGTACATGTTTTGAAGTTAATTTCAGAGTACTATTCTCAATTAAAATTTCTGACATGTTTTGATATATGTTTTTTTTTTCTTTTTGGTTTTTCGAGACAGGGTTTCTCTGTGGCTGTGGAGCCTGTCCTGGAACTAGCTCTTGTAGACCAGGCTGGTCTCGAACTCACAGAGATCCGCCTGCCTCGGCCTCCCGAGTGCTGGGATAAAAGGCGTGCGCCACCATCGCACGGTTTGATATATGTTTATGTGAACATTTAAATTTTGATAAAATCACTATAATGCCTTCTCTAGATTTTCCCTGAAATCACCAATATCAGTAGTCCAGCCTCATGTCATTTATCTGTTCTCTCTTTTCAGTGACATCTGACTTCAGGGAAAATGTGAGTGTGTGTGTGTGTGTGTGTGTGTGTGTGTGTGTGTGTGTGTGTGTTTGTGTGTGTGTGTGTTTTGGTATGGGCATTCTTCTAGTACATAGGCATCATTTCAAAGCTAGCATACCTGAGAAAATCTATCTTTCCCCTTTCATCATTTCTGCAAATAATAAAAGACATTCTGATAATATTTTGAATTCATAATATTCCTCATAATACAGTAGAGCATTCTCTGGTTTTTGTAATGAAACAAATACATAAGCAAATTTACATAGTTTAAATTCATTAATACAAGTGTACATATACATAAATACCAATAAATTACTATTTGCATTTGTTACTATAATAAAATGCCTCAGACTTGAAATTTGCGTCACGTGGTATGAAAACAGGCAAGCAAAACTCAGAGCTCCTGTATTCACTGCATATGCTTTCTGTTCTGAGAAAAACATGATAATGTTTGTATATCAGTTTTTTTTTCGCATGTATGTATTAGAAATATATCCAGTAGTTAATATTTCAAATTACCCGTTCATGGACAGAGCCCTTGATGAGTCTGTGAATTTTTTTAACATAAAGCAGAAAATAACATAAGGGTTATTATTTAGAGTACACACTGATATTTTTATATGTAACGAACTACTCTACTACATTCTTTACTCTAATTGTATTTTTGGCATTCTTACAGATTCAATAATTTTTGTCTGACTCCTGAACTGTAACCATAGGATGACTAAAGTATCTTCGTGATTTTTATATAATCCACACATATATCAAAGAAGAACAACATTCAGGAGAATCCCATACAAATCTACAAAAAATTAATAAAATTAAGATTTGCTGTTTATTTTAATAATAAGGTATTTAATCAATATTTTTACACTATTAGGATCTGAGAGTCAGTCTCTTAAACCATTAATATAGCTATAATTTCGAATAATCATCCTAATATGTTATGGTCAGACCCACAACTAACTGTACTACAAAATATCAAGGAAAAATGCATGATTTTTTCAGCTAATTCAAATGTCATTATTTGTCAAAATTTATCTTCAGAGGGTATTACTGGTTACATATGCATAGACATGTCCAAATTTCTACTATTTGATTATTAAGAACTGTAGCTATATAATTGAAAGAAAGTTCAATTTGCCAATTGCAACAATTGAGCCTACTTTATAATGTAAGTGATAGCACAATCAAAAATTTCATATATGTACATTTTAAAGATGGCAGAAATATTGTTACAGATTGAAAAGGAGTCTCTTGATTCCAAAGTACCAATTTTACCAGTCTCAACATTACTAGCAAATATACACATTTAGAATCTGAGATGAACTAGATGAACAAGATAAGTGCTGAACTTAAAAAGCATATAAAACAAGACACACAATAACAAAGATATCTATTGTGTTAATGATTTTCAAGGGAAGTGTGCAATACCTCGCTGCCATCACCAATTAACACTGGATTTCCAAAAAGCACATGCTGTCTGATTTCCTAATTGGGAATGGACAAAAAGTGAGAAAATATCAGGTACATTTCAAGACAGCAAATTTGAGACTGTGAGGTCCTTAAAAGAAATAGGACAATGAGAAGTAGGTTTATTCTTCTATACCATATTATAATTCAGAGTCTTTGAGGACAGGTAAAATAGTGCTTTCATATGTTACTGCATAATATTATCAATGATTCTGTTCTCATGAAAAAAAACCCTGCAATGTCATACAAATTTTCACAATGAAACTCAGAGAAAAGGGGAAAGGGCATGACTCCCCTTGACACTGTCATATACTAAAACATCAAGGGAATTATTTCTTTGCAGATGCTGCAGTGTTCAAGACAGAGATAGTGGTGCCACAACTTTAAAGAGAAGGAGAGGTTTCAGAAGCAGGGATGGACATGATGCACAGACCATATCAGGTGACTCCAAACAGTAATACTGGAATATACCAGTACCTGACTGCTAATTATTCTGGGTTTTTTTGTCATATAGGAGCAGTCTGCTGTGTCCGGGAAATGTACATTCGGATTTCAGCTATAAATATTTGCAGCTGCGAGCTGGCATATAGCCAGATCCTGACTAGGAAGGATTCGCTATGCTGACAATATTATTAGCTCTCCTTGCCTCGGAATCCTCTGAAGGAGTGTGTGCATTCGAATTTTCCCCGGAAGAGTGACGAGAATGCTCTCAATTCCACCAATAGGAACAAAGCCTGTGGTAACCTTGGAGATCTGCATCAGAGCTGCTGACTCATTTCTCCTTCCCTTCTCTATGTTTGCTCCGGCAAAAAATATGAAAGTGAAAGTAGATGGCAGGAAATAATGTAGTTTACCTAGGACCAGAATCCCATTATCAAAAGGGAAATCATTATGAGGTAAGTAGGAGGTGATCATGTATCTGAATTCTTGGGTCTGTATCCTGCCTATCTACCTAAAATTTCCATTTCTCCCTGCTGACCGCTGATTGTGATTCTGTGCTGCCTATTGCAGCTTCCTGGTATCACATTCAGAAATGCCGTGTCAGAGTCCCTAAACACTTATTACGGAATCCTACACTTGAAATTTTTAAATTCCCAGGTGCCTGAGGCTATTTGGCAACATAGCAATTATCTTAGTAAGGCTTCCAATAGCACATAAGATCAGTACATTTCTGTGTTGTCATGTATAGACTTTCTATGAAAATCATCATTTCAGAAAATAAATAATCTAAAGCTAACCTTGGAATCGCAGACTTTGCCGCTGAATCAGTGGCTTCAGACTCGAGCTCATTTCCTGCACTGCAAACAGAATCAGGTGACTCTCACAAATTCCTTGCTTTTTCTATGATTCTGTATTCTGCAGGTCTCAGAGAAACATTTTCTTCTCTGGTGTTGTTTACAGTGAGGCTTTGACTAAAGGCCAGCTTTGAGCAGGACTTTAGTCAAAGCCCCACTGGCAAAATTCCTCAGTGCAGTCCGTTTTATGCCATGTAGGAACCAATGAGCAGAGAGATCTCATAACAAGGACCGGAAAGCACAAGACAGCATTCATCTTGATGATCTCATCCAGAGCTGATGAGTCATCTGTGTCTCTCTCCTTACCTTGTTCTGTGAAAAGAAGCAGAGCAATTGACAGGGGAACAGAGGATAAAATGTAATTTACCCTGCATTTTGCCTCCAATTAACAGCCAACTAACGTGGTAAAATGTAACAGGTTGAGCCAGCTGGCAGATGCTTTTCCCTTGAATATACCTATATACATGGGAGCCTTTCTTCCTCTCTGAGGATTTTTTGATTGTGAATCTGTGCTGCCAATGTATCTGGCTTCTGAATCTTTGTGATTTTTTTCTATGATTTTAGGTGTGGTTTTTATGCAGTCAAATTATAATAAAAATGTTACATATGATATTATGAATTATATACAAATAATAATGCAATCATAATTTTTAATGTAATTTAATTATAATACAAAATATATTTATTTTAACTAGAGTGCAATACGAGGAATTGGGTAGACTGTAGAAAGAAATATAGATTTTAAACCTTCTCTCATGTAGACCCAAGAGTAATATAGTAGCTCACAATATCTTAGTGATAAAGAAATGAATTCAGTGTAATTGATATCAGAAAAAAAATAAATATATTTAAATTGTTAACATTTGTATCCGTTTGTTTTAAGGTTTATAGGTATTTGAACATAAACATTTGCATGAAGCATCCTTCATATTTTTGTTCCTTGCATGCAAGCAATATACATAATTATTTTTTAAATAATAATTTATAATTATTTATTTTAAAAAACAACAGAATTCAATATATTACAAGTTTTCTCTAAATCCCATGAGCACCATTCAAACGGATATATATATATATATACATTTATATATATATATATTAAAAAGAGATTTTATTTAAGCAAGTTGTATGTTTTCCAGTTTCACACGATCTATTGTTACGTCTATTTCATGGCAAGCCACTATGAAAATTTTGCCTGCCATTCGTCCTGCTTGAATTTTTGACACTGCATAAGCTACAAGAATAATGCATTTAGTTCCATTTTTTTAATTGCATTGGGGCAAATGTTCTTTTATATTAATCAAATA